TTAGAGTCAGCTTCTCTAAATAGACTGAATATTAGTCTATTTCCTCTTATATTTCAATATCTATATACTAGCTCATAATCTTTAATAATTTCTATATATATATATATTCTCTCGTAATATTCGAATTTTCAAGATGAAGTGAGAATATTAGATATGGTTTTCTTTTTTCGTAGTTCTATTTTTATAGTAATTAATCTATTTGAATATTTAGATACTTTCATTTTTTATTTTCTTTTTTGTTTGTGATTTTTGAATAGAGAGAGAGAGAGAGGAGAAGAGAGAGAGGATTATTCTTTTTATCTTATCTTATTTTGTTTTATTTCTTAAGGAGTAGAAAACTTATCTCGTTACTTGAACAATTCATTTTTCAATTTCTTTATTTCATTTCATTTTATCTCTTTATATATTATATATAGTAATAACTATTCTATATTTTTCTTATAACTTTTAAATAAATAGAGATAAGACTATTCTTTTTATTTTATTTTATTTCTTAAGAAATAAAAGATTTTTTTATCTATATGAAATTTAAATGATTAGAACTTATAGAGTATTAGTAGATAATATATCATCTTGTATATATATAGCTAGTAGAATATTCATATTATATATAGAAATAACTATTCTACATTTCCAGGAGACAAAATTCTTCCACGCGTTCCGACTTTCTAAACTAATAAGTAGTAGTAGATTTTAAAATATATCAATGCATCACATCATCTATATTCGAGTCGTATGAATCAAAATCCCTTTTTGACTTACTTTGAATTTCCGTAAAGAACAGAGTTAAAACCCAAGACTATAAACTTATAGACATAAATAGAGTCTAACAGGTCGTCTCTTTTGAACTCTAAATTATCCGCTATATAATACATAACCACAAAATTCGCGGCATGCGAAAGCGTCGACCGCTGCGGTTTTGTATATACAGGTTTATTTCTCAGATCGAAATCGGAATGTCTTTTAATCGGGAGAGAGGCATGTATGGTGTATATATACTCCCTGGGAGATCGGGAGATGAAACATCTTCCATACAGTATTGAAGCGATTGTGCGTCTCGTCATCTGCTATTTCTTTGGTCGCTAGTTGTTCTCCTACTGGATCTTCTGGAAGCTGGATTTGTGTCTCGGCTGTTTTGGTTTCTGGATGTGTATGTAGGTATGGAAAGTGACTTCAAAGTCCTCAAAAACTTGGACTGAGATATAGATACTCCCTACGATAGTAGAGAGCTTTATAGGAACTCGTGGTCTATTTGTAGGAAATGGAATATTACTAGAAAAACTTTACTAATGAGGATCCCGACTGTACAGCTTGAGCAGCAAATTTGTTAACATTCTGAGTATAAAGGTAAATCAAGGATGGAATATCTGGTTTATCTAATAACTTGAGGTTCGAGTGAGCCATCAATCTACTTTCCTATTATCCCCCCTTAGAGTATTCAACAGTTTGAACTATAGTTCAATAATATAAGGTTTTGAATATCTAAAAGCAATTAGAAACTTGAAAATCGTTCAGTAATCTAATCAAATATAATATCCCAAATAATTTGAATATTCTGATTGATTTAGAGATTTGAAAATCTTTTTCGTTGGACTACAGTCCGGATTATTGAACACTCTATTCCCCTCTTCGTTGTCAATGGAATCAAGACGGAAGGGAAATATTCGCCACTACTAGGTTATAACAAAAGATATCTCCATACCAAGAAAAAAAAATGTATTGATTTGAATCATCTTCAAAGATAGATCAAATTCCCATTCCCATCATACCCTCCCCATCCCTCATGCTCCCCCAAAAAGCAAAAAGATTGCAATCCTCTAATCCCAGCTTCAAACTAGGTATGGAAGAGAAGAATGTTCTATACATGAGAACCTTCTAATAGGAATCGAACCAATATCTCCGGAATCAAAATCCGACGTGCTAACCATTACACCATAGAAGGATTGCGTGTTTGACGTAATGGAATGGTTTATTTGCATCTATATTGTTGTAGTGGGCGACGCATTGAAGAGATTTTCTGCGGAGTGGGGCGGGGTGGAGGGCGAAAGGACCTTCTTTGAGGGGCGCAAATGAATGGCTTGTACCCGCGACTAAGAACAAAACAGGGATGATGGTCATTGCAGGAGTTGAATCGGAACCCTCAGTCGTAATCGAATATTCGACGTTGGCACTACCATGAAGAAAATGTTGTACATAATTTTTGCGCCCGCCACAATTGTAACGAAAAATGATCGATAAACCAAACTATGGTTTTGTAAGGTATGTCCGAAATACTCTTTAAGAAACGCATCATCATTTTTCAAACGAATCCTCTTCATAAAATTTTCGTCGAAAACTTCCAAAGTCTTCAAGAATATATACTACTCAGGTAGTCTGGGTAGGGATATTCAATGTACAGACTGACAGGCTCGATGGAACTTGAGTCTCAAAGTCTCAAAGAAACACCATATATATATATTCATATATTGAATCCAGGATTCCAAAGCATTTTAAAACTTTTGGTTGAATACAGAAATTGAAAGCTTCCAATTGTCGGAGTTCACTGGAGACTATTGAAAGCTTTTGATTGTCGGATTGTGTGTTAAAATATTGAGAGCTTTCAATCATCGGGTTGCATGTCAAACTATTGATATGTACCTTCTGATTGCCGGACTCTATCCTGAACTATTGGAAGCTTTTGATTGCTGAATTGTATTTCAAACTATTGAAATCCCTGTTGAGTATGGCCCTCCAGCACCACAATTATCTTCCTCGAAGCTATCTCGGTAGTCTATCAAGCGTCGAAAATCCGTACATCTCAAGCGCAGCAGGAAATGCTTGGATAGGGATACGTATAGAGGAAGTTGGAACCATCATATCCGGTAAATGATACTAGAAGAGCGATGGGAGAACCCATGAAGTGCGTGCGAGTGCGAGAGGCTCAAAGTACATGCTGTAAGAGAATAATGCTGTACTTGTCATAGCGATCAAACAGAAAGAGCAATATTTCCCTTGAAAGCCATACATTGATGTAGGAAGTTTGGTTCCGCTGGCACAGTTTCTGAAAGTGTGTCAACTTGCCCTGCGACTAACAGCGTGTAGTTGAGAGTTTCTGAATGGTATTTGACATTGATTGAAGGGGTTTTAATTATTGTGTAAAGCCTTCAACCCTTCGAGAATCGAGTTTTCATTTTGGTTGAAAGTAATATGGTAATGAATTGATATGGAATTTGGGGAATGTCAAGAGACGGAGTAAGGTTGCCGGTGTGATGGATATATCGTAGGGACAGATGTAGAGACAAACCGAGGAAATGACACAATCCCGCCTTATCACCGAAATGTGGGGTAAGCTTATAGCTATCAAACCCCCACCCCTCCACCTCCATTCATACTATTAATCATCCATCTCCCCTCTCTTTTGCCTTATCTCTGACTCTTTTCTAACTGTCCTTTTCTCAATTGATCTATAGATATATCTTCTGCAATTCTTCTACGTATGCCAACTCTCCCAAGACCATACTTAGTCCTACCAACTCTTAAATCCTTCTTCAAACATCCATCTCGTTATCAATCTCCTCTTCCACAACTTTACAAACGAACCATGTCCTCCGCAATGTCCAAACGTCTCGAGGGTAAAACCATTGTTATAACTGGTGCCTCATCTGGAATTGGCAGAAGTACCGCTTTAGAATTTGCGAGAACTTCTCCTAAAGATTTGAGATTGATCTTGACAGCTAGACGAATTGATGTTTTGGAAGAAGTAAAGAAGGATATCGAGAAGGAATGTGGTGAGGGGGTTAAAGTTTTAGCTGTGAAATTGGATGTTAGTAAACCTGAGGAGGTAAAAGGATTTGTTGGTGGATTACCGGAAGAATGGAGGGAGATCGATGTTTTGGTCAATAATGCGTAAGTGTTTCTTAACTTTGAGGGAAGGGAAACTAACTCTTTAATTCAGTGGTCTAGTCAAAGGTGTAGCACAAGCTCCATCTATCGCCGAAGAAGATATCAACATCATGTTCGCAACAAACGTAACTGGTCTTATCAACATGACTCAAGCTGTCCTCCCAATTTTCAAAGCGAGACCAGATGGTGGAAAGGGCGATATTATAAACATTGGCAGTATTGCAGGAAGAGAACCATACCAAGGAGGAAGTATCTATTGTGCCACTAAAGCAGCCATTAGAAGTTTTGGAGATTCGCTGAGAAGAGAATTGATCGCTACAAGAATAAGAGTCATTGAAATCGATCCTGGACAAGTCGAGACCGAATTCAGCGTCGTTCGATTTTATGGCGATAAAAAGAAGGCAGATGCTGTCTATGCTGGATGTGAACCATTGACTCCGGATGACATCGCTGAAGTTATTGTTTTTGCAGCCGGAAGAAGAGAGAATGTCGTTCTTGCCGATACTTTAATTTTCCCCAATCATCAGGTATGTTTTAATTCTTTTGGTGCGAATACAGGAACTAATAGAGGTATTGGCAGGCTGCTGCCACAGTAATGCATAAGAAGTCATAAACTGATCATCCATAGGCTGGTGCTGGAGGTGCAATGTATAAGAAGAGCTAAGGCATTCTGTTTGTGCATAGAAAATGTATACCCTACGATAGAAGCGAGAATGAGTTTTACAATGCATAAAATAGATATCATATTCTTTTATTCCAAAATTCAAAAGCCTGTACTCCTGTTCTGGAAACCAAATGAAGCTTGTGTCATCAAAGGTTTCTCCGTCGCCTTTTAATTTTAGTTCATTACTTTCATTGTCTGGTCAAGTAAAGAGTTCTTATCTATCTATTCACTGCTCTATAAAGATTATACATTGTCTACAAGTATTATATTCAGTCTATAAATGTGGAATCAGAGTATTCTTAATCTTAGTCTTGATCTTGGATGGCTTCACATTAGGAACGTCTCGCTCAACTGTGGTATTTTCTTAAGTATTAAGTTTGGATTTTCATCATAACTACAAACATAATCATTGGAGATAAATACCCTCTTATAAAACCAGAAAATACTCATACATTCATTCAATCCAACCATGTACCCACTTCTCAACCCAGTCTCCCTCAATACCTTTCAACCTACGCAAGTTCCCACTTGCCTGTACTGTTTTCTTATTCTCCAAGATACTCGTACCTCTTCCCTTTGCTAATCCTTCATAAAAGGACAATAGCTTGATAGCCGGGTTCTTTTCCAACATTTCTTCAAAATCAATCTTTGAATGTAAATCCTCGGCGTCTTTTCGAACACGCTCAATCCATTTCGCAAAAGGTACAGGAGTAATTTTGTTTTCTTGCCCTACTGTAGCGGTATTAATAATGTTAGGTAATAATGACTTCCACGGAACGAGAACAGGATTGACGGGATGATAAACTTTGGCACCGTGGTTGTGATCGTTTCTCTGGAACAATACAAGTTCCACAAGTATAGCAGCGATGAGATCAATAGGCACCCAGTCAACTTCGCTACGGTCGGTTGAATCAAGTGATTCGGGTATAATACCAAGATGTATAGAGCTAAGCACGAGACTTGGAAACCACTCATGTTTGTTCCAGATTCCGGTAGTGGAGACCGGACCTGCGATTTGTCCTACGCGAGCTATGCTAATGGATACATGGGGAAATCTATCTGCGGCATAGGCAAGGAGGTTTTCGGCGATGAATTTTGATTCCGAGTAGCCCATTGGAAGAGATGCTGATGTATCTGTGATTACGCTTTCGGGGACATCTCCTGAAAAATTACCGACGGAGCTAAGGGATGAGAGAAACATTAGAGAAGGTGTTTGAGATGCGGTAGCTGCAAATTCAAGCAAATTGATGACGGTTTTGATGTTGGGATGGAAAGACGATAGTGGAATGTTGAAATTTACAGGCCATGCATTGTGGATTATATGTGTTGCGGAGGCTTTGACCTTTTCGAATATTTCGGGCTCGAGACCTAATCGTTCATCTGAGAGATTGGCTTGGAGAAATGTGACGCGATTTGAAGGAAATTCGGTAGGAAGGCCGTGAGCTTTACTTCGTTTGATTTGTGGTTGTTCCCCGGCAGTCCTATTGAGACAAAAACGTGCGAAACGGCGCTTGATGAGAGAAGAGTTTGTAATATGTATGATCCTAGTGTACCGGTGGAGCCTGTGAGGACAACAATCCTTTCTTCTGATGAAGTGCCATCTGCTTCTTTTACCCCGTTCAAGTGCGTCTGGTTATCTGGGGGAGCGATCTCATCTAAGATAGCCTTATATTCAACCAAGCTATCATGAATACCTTGCTCTCTAGACTTACTATCCGAAGACTTCTCCGCTTCGTGGAGCGAAGAAAGCTGGATTATCGCCTCGGCAAGAGATTTAACCGAAGGATTGGTATACAGTGTAGTAATTTCCAATTCCGGGATCGCAAAAGTGTTTTTCAATATTCTGGTCAATCGAAGGGTTTGTAAAGAATCCAACATTCCTCGAATGAATAAGTCGTCTTCATCCTGAAATGTGATGCTTCCTATAAGCTGGGAAATATTATCGTGGATGAATCGACTTATGGAGATACTGTCATTCGTATCTATTTTAAGCTTTTCAATTTCGGGTGCTGAAAGGTTTAGTGAAGTTGAGCTCGACATTTTATCCGCGTCGGCATAAAGATTGTCGATTTCTTTCGAGTACAAATCAAGTGTTGGTTGTCTCTGAACCATCCCCTTCCCTGATCTTCCCATAGGTTTATCCGGACTAGTGAAGAAGACATGAGATTTAGCAACTTTGGCATGGCGAGGACATTCCTGATTTGCTTGCTGAATAGTCGGCCATATACGTTCGATTGCCTTTGCTCGTTCCACAGTAGAAAGTGCTTGGGGAGATATCAATTCAATCAACAACGCGGTTTGGAATCGGTGCGCACCAATGACAAGCGCAGCTCGTACTTCAGGATGATGTGATATTTGTTGTTCCATACTGACAGGATTCGTTTTTTCGCCAGTTAGAAGGACGATAATATCATCGCTTCGTCCGGAATATAACCACAGATCTGGAATTGAAGGATGTGGAGCATATAGATCGTGGGTTTCCCATTGATTCAGTGATGGAAACACGGAGAAAATAGGTTGTACTTTCTCAGAATCCGTATTGCGAATGAGAACCGCTTCATAACGGTTTTCGGAATGTGATCTTAGTTCAATCCCAGCGTTGGGATGGAAATGGAAATATTTCCAATCTTCAGATGGCCATTTATCGCTTGGGAAGACGGCCGGGTACGCACCGCTTTCTGTAGATCCTATAATCATGGATAGTTTGAGTCGCTTGGAGATCTTGTCTCCTGTGGCTTGTGAGACGTCGCCACCGCCGTAGAGAAGTACGTCGATATTTTTGACGAGGAAGTCTAGCATTTCGGGGTTTTTACCAACTTCTTCGACGAATGGTGGAGCGAGAAGAACGCTATCTGCTTTCACGTGCTTGAGTGCTTCGAGTACGATTTGTGTCGAGAGGGGCACGCCGGATAGGGGGTAGATGAGAGGTGTCTGGTTGAATACTGCATTTAAGAGTGTCATGAATATTCCGCCTGCCTGTAATTGATAAATCAGCTCTCAAAATTGTTATCAACGCAAAAGAGCTGTTCATTTTATAGTCTATAGTCTGCAGTCTGTACTCTTCCTCTTGATGAGGGCAAGCCCCCAAGCCCCCATGGCTCGCTGCCGCTCGAATACCCCCCAGCACATGTTTACCTTTGGTATCTATCTGTCTCCTTGTATCGATCCCTTTCATTGCTAAGCAAACAATCAACGAAACAAGCAACTCACATGAAAAGGCGGTAATGTATTCAAAAGTCTCGTCCTGCAAAAACAACAATCAGATCACTCTCAACCACACAATAGAAGATACTTACGAAGTCCACAACGCAGTTTGATTCGTATAACCATCCGGAGGAGCAATCGCAAGCCAATCACTCCAACTAGCTACCCACTCATGGTTCCACACTATAGGCTTCGGAAACCCCGTGGTTCCAGAAGTATGTAGAACGACCAATGGTTCTTTTCGTGCTTGTTCGAATGTTTTGTTAAAGGGATAGTGAGGGTAAATGTTATCGAGCAATTCGTCCACATCTGGACACTCGATTGCTCGGGCGCCGGTGGCTTCGATGATTGAGTGTGTCATGGGGAGAACGGGGTTAACTGTGATGAGGACTTTACACTCCAGAATCTTGAAGAGATTCGCATGGGCTAGTATACTGTTTCGCGGGGAACTGAAGAACATCTATCCTCACTACTGTTAGAGAAGTCCCATGACCAAAGCTGTAAGTTGTATATAACATGCCTTATACCCCGCTTTCACAGCAGCCAACATCAGCGCATTGTACCGGAAATCGTTCGGACCAATATAAGCTAAAGTAGGAAAGTTTTCCGCAGGACCAAGAGTATCGTGCAGCCAATGAGCGAGACCATTGATTGCATTTGCAAAGTTAGCATAGCTGATCTTGCGGTATCCACACTCGTAGCTGGTGGCGGATCGTGGGACTTCGGCGTAGATGGTACCGGGTCGAACTTTTGCTAAACCGTCGACAATGTTATTGAGGAGTTGCTTGCGACGGATAGGTTTTAAGCTGGTTTCTTCGAATAGAATGGATGCCATGTTCTTAGGTTTGTGGAGCCGAGGAACAAAATAAGATAGGAAAAGACTTGTGAATAGGAGTCGGTGATATTTAAGATGGGGGATCAGAGGACATGTAAGTGACAGTGTTTGAAGACTGATCAGTAGAAAGAGATGAAAGTTCCTCTCTGAAGAAACATGTAAGAATCAAGGAACAAGTATACACTAATAATACAGCAAAGTCATGTATACCCAGGAGAGCCTGACGCGAGATGTTTGTGCCGTCAAACCATGACCCATCTTGCTACATATGTATGTTATAAATTCGATGCTATAATGCTTGATTATACGGATATGATCTTCTATTTACAAGGAGATATGTATATGTGTGTGTATGCACTTGAATTTCGGGGCGAGCCAGCTCGTTAGTGTTTCGGAGCGCCTAATACTTTCTATTATTTTATATTATTTTATATTATTATTCTTATTATTCTTATTATTCTTATTATTCTTATTATTCTTATTATTCTTATTATTCTTATTATTCTTATTATTCTTATTATTCTTATTATTCTTATTATTCTTATTATTTAATAAAAATCATAGAAATAATAGAGATTCTCTTTTATTATTTTTTCTAGATTCTAATTTATATTATTAAAATAATTAGATAATTTAGATTAATTAAATAATAATAATGATAATAATAAGAATAATAAGAATAATAAGAATAATAATAATAATAATAATAATAATAATAATAATAATAATAATAATAATAAGTTCTTAGTAAGTCTTTAATATTAAAGAATTAAAGATAAAGTTTATTCTTTGTTTTTTAAATTCTTTGTTTTTTAAACTCTTTATTTTCTAATTCTTTATATAATTAATTTCATAATAAAAAATATTATATAACTACTATATAATTATATACAATCTGAATTTCTAAGTATGAAAAATATAATTAATATACGCTATATAAAAATTCCATAAAATCTAACGTATAAGTTTCTTTTGCTATACTCCGAAATACACTTTTAACAATATTAACTTTTCAAATCTTACTGCGATAAAGAATCTGATATCCTCCAACAATAATCATTTTATGAGGATATACAGAGGTGGTTCTTCTTCTAGTCCAACAGTTGTACTCCGTGAATACGGGTGGTTAGTATATCTAGCAGACCTAAGATATCACTTCTGTAGTGATGAGGCACAAGATGGTTTATTAATGTCAGTAACCCTATCCGCATAATGGGGCTATGCGGCACCAACAGTCGGATGTATAAGACCACGTCATGTGCGAGGAAAGAACTGTTGGCCGCGAAAATCAAGACTCTGTGCTACGTATAGTAATACTCGATAGGTAATGCGAAATAAGTCGCATACCAACATCCGAAGACATAATCTTGACTTTTCAACATCGCAATGTGGGATTTACTAGATTTATTATTAATTACCCCTCAATTAATACATGCTATTAATCTAAATTGAATACGCAACCTACAAACTCCCCATCTCCAGACCTCCAAAACGAAATTAATTCCGTCATCTTCGCATCCAAAATGAAGGGGGGCAATCCCACCTCTACGTAAGCAAAAAAAACAGGCGGGAATTGATCATCATTCGAAAGACCTTCAACAACTAAGATTTCTTTTTAACCCTAATATTAGATAATAAAAACACTTGATTTCAATATAAAGAAGACTCAAATTTTCGTTTGCTTTTTTCAAATTTCAATATTTAATTTGAAATGAATTTATAATCTATTAAAAAAATACCTTTGAAAGAGTACTCAATTTCCGCCTGTTTTTTCGCTTACGTAGAGCCCACCCCATGACTCAGAAGCGAAAAATTGCCTGACTCGCATTCGCTTACCATAAGGTCACGCCCCACCACGAAAAAAAAACTCTTCAAAAATTCTACCCGCCCCACTCTGTCAGTAATATAAACGCAAAAATGAGTGGGAACTTTAACAATTCAAGCAATCCTTCTATGGTGTAATGGTTAGCACGTCGGATTTTGATTCCGGAGATATTGGTTCGATTCCTATTAGAAGGTTCTCAATGAACATTCTATCCTTCCATACCCAGTTTGAACCTGGGATCACAGGGTTGCGTTTACTTTTTGCTTTCCTGAGATATACAGGAAATTCATCTTAGACACATATAGCTTTGGTCTCACGGCGACAGCTCACTTTTTTTTCCTTGTCTAGATGTTTTTGTTCCTGATATTGAATATTGCTCAAGACTTTCGATTTTCGATTTTTTCGTTTACTTGGCCATTGGCCTCATTGAGCAACCGTAGCAGTCCAACAATATCAGGGTTTGAATATCTAAAAGCAATTAGAAATTTGAAAATAGTTGTATATTATAATCAAATTCAATATCTCAAATAATCTGAATATTCTATTTGATTTGGGGATTTGATAATCTTCATTGTTGGACTACAGTCCGAAATATTGAACGCCCTGATTTGCATATACATTTTCTTTACAAATCTTCTTCCTGGCCTTCATCATCGTCTAGTTTCTTGCCATCAACATCAATCTTCATAAAGATTGTAGACAAACCGGCCAGAAAATAACATATCTATCGTTATCTTTTATCAGTACATTCATTCTACAAGTTGTGTTTATTTGCAAATTTAAGAAGTAAAAGAGTACTCACAGCAGCAACAAAAAAAGGTAACGCATGCCAAAAAGATGGTAGGCGTAAGGTTGCCGCAAATATGTGTTGCATGGAAGGATCATTGATAGCATGACCGAGATTTTCGAGCACGGCTATCGAGGCGTAGAGGGTAGCGAGGGAGGAGGCGGGAATAAAATGGGATATTAGGGAAAGGGTTGAGACTCGGGATCCGACTGAGAGGAGTTGTTAGAACTTATCTGTGGTTTTGGAGAGTAATTTGGATGCTGAAATTAGAGAAGTGGAAGAGAAGAGTACGTACAGCCTGTGGCGAAGATAGAAACACCTATTTCAAGTTAGACATTATAATCCATCTCCAAGGAAGGAGGTATCATACCAACTGGAATCCACCCACTCGTCGGTGCTAACCCAATAGCAAGAGAACCCATCAAAAGAAAACATACACTAATCCTCATCAGTGCCAAATCAATTTTCTCAGATCTCACATGATATCTCGCTTTTATCCAAATAGTTATCCTCGGGATCAGGAAAAGGAATAGGAAGATATTGATAATAGCTGTTTCAGTGTAGAACATTGCTCCTTGAGATATCTTGGTATTGAAACAGACTGACGAATATTGGATCAAGATATTGAGAGTTGTGTATCTGAGGGTTCCGACTAGGAAGACTGGGATGCAGAGGAGAACGTTGGGTTGTATCATGGCGTGGCGGATGGTAGCGAGAATGATAGTCTTGGGGATAGTTGTAAGATGTCTTGATTGTAGTCGTGTTGGGGATGAAGGTGAGGATATTGAAGGTGAGGATATTGAAGGTGAGGATGGTTCCGGTGGCGACGACGATTGACTAAATGGTACCAGCCACAACAAAAGTAATCCTAGGGTTACAGATCCCATTGCCATACTACAGGCAATCCAAGGAGAAATGTCTATCGTGACAGAAGCTACATATGACCCAATGAGCTCTGCAATATAGAATGCCGAGAAGATATAGTAAAATGCATAGCTCCTATTACAAACAGCAGTTAGTCTGAAATATTCACCCAACTATACATACTGTTCACCTTTTATCTTCCGGTATCAGGGAAGAAGCCATCGCCCACATAAATGCTGCACTTGAGTATAAACCTCCTCCACATAAAAGGAACAGTGAAGACAACCATACCCAACGCAAATCGAAGATCTTTGGGTATGCACCTTATGAGATGCAGAGATTAGCAACATTTGAAGGCAACAAAGCAAAGTAGCAGAATACATACAAACAACAAATATTTCCACCAAAGATAATCCAACTCCAATTAAAGATAGCGCCATGATCTTTCTCCTTCCATATCGATCTCCCAAGTTGCCAATCGGAATCGCTACTAGTAAAACTATATACCTATCAGCATTTACCCTCTTTTAAAGAAACGAAAAATATACCAGGCACCGTATCTCCAAAACTTTTCCATCCCCTAATCGTCGCTAACGGACCCTGAATCTCGGGTATTTTACACATTTCTGAAATAATTTCCGGATTATTTAATCTTAAGCTTGGCTTTGGAAAATTGTAATAAGAGTGACAGAGGGAAGATTCGAAGAGGGAGATGAGGGGGGCTACGAGGACCATTTCGCAGAAGGCGATGAGGAAGTGGAGGGTCATGAAGTAGAGGATGAGGGTTGGGAGGGAGGGAGAGGTGGGGGGAGGAGGAGGGTCATGGGGATGATGGTGGGTGGAGATAAGGGGGGAAGTCTCATTAGGTGGAACAGTGGATGGGGGGGTTTGTTTTGGAGAGAGGGGGGAAGAGGGCGGCATCGCTTGTATGATATGTTGTGTTATGTGAATTGTGATACGTGAGAAGACTGTAGGGAGATAGGAATGGAAATGTGTGGCTGATTAACTTCGTTTGCGCCACAATGTGGTTCTCGTTGTGGCGTTGAGTGTATCATACTGTAGGTAACCAGGTGCCACATTGTAGACGTCCGAAACTGGCTTCCGATACTCATAACTTGTGAGTAATCCAGGTGATTCTGCTAAGTTACGGGATAATCGTTCAGTATCCATGGAGTTTAAAAAGCACTTGAGTTCGCAAGGGAGATGTGGTATTATCCATGTATTCAAGGATAACCGATAGCTCACCGGGAAGTTAGCACAAATACTGGTTCACATCCATCCACTAACATTAGCCAACATCACCAACGTTGGCTAGAAAGACAGTCATTACAAATACTCTTCATAAAAGCAGAAAGATAAGAAGCGATGCCATTTGAATTGTACATATCATTACGTTGAAGCTCGCCCCGATCACTACGATTTTGAGAACGTCGAAAGTGTTGAAATCATATCGCAGGTATATATCTGTACTATCTCGGCCATCATTGAACACAGAAACAGGCTCTAGATTGTACAGTTCTCCTAACATGATCAGTACATATCATCTCCAACTGTTTGATCACTACGTCCCACTATTCTGCATGAAAGTGTAAGCAAAACCTACCTACTTATATACTCCCTTGTAACTCTCCATGTATCTTTCCACCAAGTTCTTCCTCTCCAGAAGCTCAAACTACATTACTTCATTTCCTTTCCCACGCAACGTCCATCTAAGCATTAAAAAAGAAAATGGATACCTCAAAGATTTACGACTTCATTATCGTAGGAGGCGGTACATCAGGTCTCGTAGTCGCCACTCGACTATCCGAAAATCCTGAAATCCAAGTTCTCGTTCTCGAGGCTGGCGGAAATCATTTGGAAAATCCACAGATAAACATTCCAGCACTTTGGCCCTCTTTGCTCGGTACAGAACTCGATTGGGCATTTAAAACTATTCCCCAGGTAATTTCCACCACGTCTTCCTTGAATCATTCAATGCTGATTGTTTGTGATAAAGAGTGAACTTGGAAATCGCACTATAGGCCTTCCTGGTGGTCGTCTCCTCGGTGGATCAAGTGCCATCAATGCGCAAGCTTTTATCGCTGCATCTAAAGTTGGACTTGACGCCTGGAAAGAGCTTGGGAATGAAGGATGGGATTGGGATTCCATGGAACCTTACTACAAAAAGTGTCATACTGTAGAAATCCCAAGCGACAAGTTGAGAAAGGAGTTGGGCTTAAATCACCTCACATCTTCAAACAACCCGGGGTCTGACGGTCCTATTCAAACGTCGTATCCTCCAAAAATGGATGCTGTCAGAAAAGCATGGGTTGATACCTTCAATGCTTTGAAGTATGAAATGTCTGAAAATGCATTTTCAGGATCTTCAATTGGTGGGTTTGTGAATAATTCGACAGTTAATGGCGTTACAAAGGAGCGGAGCTATTCAGCAAATGCTTACTTCAAACCCGTGCAAAGTCGATCCAATCTCCATCTCGTTACTGATGCTCTAGTTGAGAAAATCATTCTTGACAAGGAATCTGGGGAAAGCATTGCCAAAGGTGTTAAAGTCACTATCAAAGGCGTCGAACATATCTTTCAAGCCGGGAGGGAGGTCATAGTTGCAGCCGGCGCTTTGAATTCCCCAAAGATCTTAGAACTCTCGGGAATTGGTGATTCTGAACTTCTTCGCTCGCTCGGAATCGATGTATATGTCGACAATTCTAACGTGGGAGAAAATTTCCAAGACCATACATCAAGCGGAATGAGTTTCGAGGTAGTTGATGAAATACAGACACTAGATCCTCTGAACCACCAAGAACCAGAAGCCATAGCAGCTGCTATGTCCGCATATCAAACTGACAAAACTGGACCGTTTGCTGGTGCGGCAATATCGTCTTTTGCTTACATGCCTGTTCCAGACTTCCAGACACCCAAAGGCAAAGCCGAGTTGGATAATTTGCTGCTTACCTGCAGACCCGAGAAAGAGAGTGTAACGTTTGAATTTGCACGATCTGTTCTTTCTAGTGCAGACAAGAGTTCCGCTTGCTATTTCGTGTATGCAGCCCATGGAAACTTTGGATCTGACGCAAGCTCTGCAAAGAACGTCACCATTAGCCACGAGACTTGCAACTTTCTTACAATTGCTTGTGAACTTGGATATCCGCTTTCACGAGGCAGTGTTCATATTCAATCTTCGTCGGCATTGGATAATCCTATCATTGATCCCAAATATTTCAGCAATCCTATTGATCTTGATATCCATGCTAGATTCATACGATACATCCATAACATTGCTGTGACTGAGCCGATGGCTTCAATTCTCAAACCCGGCGGACATATCAGTCCAAGCTTTGCCGCATTTGGTACAGACTTGGAAGATGCCAAAGGATATGTCAGAAAAACTATGATTTCCGCGTGGCATCCTTGTGGCACTTGTGCGATGTTACCTTTGGAAGATGGTGGTGTTTTGAACCAAAAGCTGGTGGTTTATGGCACCAAAAACATCAGGGTTGTCGATGCAAGTATGATACCTTTGATTCCGAGAGGAAATCTACAATCTACTGTCTATGCTGTAGCTGAAAGAGCAGCTGATTTGATCAAGTTGGATCATAATATCTAGAAATGCTTTAGCTGTCTTGATTGTTCATTCAATAATATCCTGCGACTTGATAACCTTGGAATATTATACTTTTAGACCTAATGGCTAGCCATTTACCTTTTAAATCCGAGAACATCTTCGCACCGTGAATATAACATGTCGCTCCGGAACCTTTCGTACGGTGATAATGTGGTTCTATTCCAAGCAAGCCTACTTTAAATAGACCTTAAAAGAAGCCTTTGTAACTCTTAATGTAACCATGCTGGCAACATCACAACATTATCGAGTGAGACAACAAGAATTAATAGTAGGGTTAAGTCCATTCTTTCGTAATATCAAAAATCATTTTTCTTATATTGTAAGAAAAGTCCTCTTGATTTCCAAATTACATATAAAGAAGCTCCCACCCAATGACGTAGCTCGCGTAAGTGGGGTCTTTCTAATCGCGTCCCCCTCATCTCCTCACAATTCCACTCGACAACATCAAATACGCGTTCTCAGCCCGCGTATTCTAGCCTCCCGGGATAAAATCCAAAAATGTCTCTCCCTCGCGTATCCCTCTCTTCATTTCTATCCTCCGCCAAAGCTGCCCTAAACGGCGCATTGAAAGGCGGGGGAAAAGTTAATTTTGTCGTGGGTAATGAATCGGCTGGTATGTACCATTTGATCCCTTCTTGTAATACTCCGGGGAAAGATGTTAGCGGAAGCAGCTCGATACAATTGGTGACTAGCATAAGATCGTCCACATAACTAACACACACAGTAACTAGATCTCGATTCCCTCTGTAGCGCCATACTCCTAGCCTATCTACGTACATACTCCCCTCTCAACCATAGCAAATCCCTCTACATCCCTCTGTCGAATCTGCCCCGTGCGGATTTAGGATTGAGGCCGGAATTACATCCAATTCTGAAGAAAGCAAGAGTCAATGTGGGAGAATTGATTAGTCTGGATGATTTGAGAGAACACGGCTCAAAGTCGTCGCAGTTGACAATATTGAAACCAGATGATACGAGATGGATATTGGTAGATCATAATGCGTTACAGGGGGAATTAGGTAGAATATATGAGGGGAGAGTCAGAGGGTGTATAGATCATCATGATGAAGAGGGGAAGGTTCCCACAAAGGAAATCTGTGAGAAGGAGGGGGAAATGAGGATTGTAGAGAAGAGTGGAAGTTGTGCGAGTTTGGTCGTTGCATGGGCGCGAGGTGGCTGGGCAGAGATGAGGAGAGGAGATGGAGTAGGCGGAGAAAGAGATATCAGGTAAGTTTGCGCTCTACAATATCCAGTTCTATCTTGATAATCGACATATCTCATACCGTTCTCGCTCTCACCCACAATCTTACTTGATCAAACTAACCCCGATTTACAGTCAATGGGACGGTGAACTAGCATATCTAGCACTAGGCCCAATCCTAATAGACACAAACAATCTCCAATCCGCCGACAAAACCTGCGAAAGCGACCGAGCCGCTGTCCAATTCCTCGAAGACCTAATCGCAAAAGATCCCAATACATCAAAATCACCCTGGAACCGAGACGAATATTTCTCCACAATGACTGCCGCGAAAGAAGACATCGGAGATATGGAATTACGAGATATATTACGAAAAGATTACAAAGAATGGCACGAAGGAGGACTGAACCTGGGTATAAGTGCCGTAGTTCAGGATTTCGACTTTCTCCTCGCGAAAGCGGGGAGTAGGGATAAGTTGCTTGAGGTACTTGGTGAGTGGGCAAAGGAAAGAACTTTGGATATTTGTGCGGTGATGACAACGAGCAATAAGGATGGAGTGTTTAGGAGGGAGCTTTTGGTATGGGGGTTGGGGAATAGAGGGGTAGAATGTTTGAGGAAGTTCAAGGGGGAAGGAGAGAAAAGATTTGGGTTAAAGATTTGGGGTCAAGGCATACTAAATGTCGATGAGGAGAAGGAGATTAGACATTGTTGGTGGCAAGAGAGGATTGAGCATAGTAGAAAGCAGGTTGCTCCTCTATTGAGACAATCGATGCTTTGATATCGAGCGGGTGACTTTATAGGTTCATGATTTGTTCTAGCCTGGGTGAACAGTGAATTGCATAGATTTAGAAGCGAGCACCATTGCCTACAGAATATCAACCCTACGTTGCAGATATATAGATATTAACATAGATTGCCGGAAGCGTTCCCGAGGAAATAGTTTCCACCATAAAGCATTAACAGGAACAATTTTATACCAACCACTGTATCACATAAGACGGCAAGATTGAATGTTGAAAAGGTATTGAGACAATTAAACTAGGCGCTGGATGTCTATCTATCATTAAAAGCGTCTTTGAGAATCATAAAAGTCGGTTCAAAACAGCTCGAGCTCATCTCAGAGAAACACACGCCAGAAAAGAAGCAAAAGATAATCACCAATCGCTAGAAAAAAACGCTGCCCCCAAAGAATCTCTTTTACCTAAATCGCGCGACCCTTCCCCTTCCCATTTCCTGCAAACCCCAATCCTGGGAAGGCCTCAGCCTCAGCTTCTTGTTTACTACGTTCCTCCGCTAGACTGAGTTGCAAAGCAAACTCAAGATCGTCTGACAACCGAGCATTCTTATCCATAGAATGTAACCCTTCATAACTGAATCTATTCTTGGATACCTGACTAGTCGATGGCGAAGTGGACTCTGACCGTCTTGTCTTTTTCTGTTTGTAAGTGAAATTGACATCATAATCACCAACACTTGGCGAATGCCCATTGTCACCAATTGCCTGACCTTCCATCAGAGAAAGACGTATAGCCTCCTCAAGATCATGGTCATAGTTAGGTTGAGGCTCTATAGCTGAAGTGGGTACTGTGGAATGACTTCTCGTGCTAGCTTCAGGCGTAATAGTTCCGAAACTATTCTCACCTTTGGTAGGAGAATTCTCGCCAGTGTCTGCAAAATATCCAGCTTCACTTATGCGGCGTTCTTCGTCATCTATAAGAGCTTGAGCAGACACCATTTCCGCATATTGTAAAGCTTCTTCTTCACTAAGGCCACCAAACCCAACACCAAATCGACCAGCGAGTCTCGCTGCCTCTTTAGCTTTTTCTTTCTTTTCTTGATCGAGTTCTTGTTGTTCTAATGCAATTTGACTCAACAAAGCTCCTCTACCAGTATTACTAAATCGATCAGTTGCTCCATTACTACCACGTTCGCCACGGCGAAGCCTTCGCTTTTTAGTTTGAAACTGATCTGCGGCAGAGGAGCTGTAGTGCCAATATCGAAGATGAGTACCAAGTGAAACCATACCACGCAGGATTGTTGGATCAGGATCGAGAACGACAGCACCAGCTGCGTAAAGATTGATGCCAACTCCATGAATTCTTGCCTCTGCTTGGATCAATCGACGTCGAGCACGCGAAGAAAAGCGAGAGTGGAGAGTGCGAACAGGTTGATTGGATGATGCAAGAGGATCCCACGCCTGTACGAGGCCATCATTACCACCATGAACAACAAACAATGCGGAAATTGCCAAACATGATATTTGAGGCGATTCTGTGACGATAGTACGGATTGGATGTAGCTCATTGACCACCTGAGGATTTGCAGATTGAGGACCTCGCATATTCCACAAAATGATTTGGCCTATCTTGGTACCAACAGCCAAATACCTTGCGCGATAACCGGGGATGCTAGTCGAGGACGTCTCATCAGACGGTGTCTCTGGAAAGGTAGTAAAATTTGTTTTCCCATTTACAGTATGTAATGGATCTTCGGCAATGGTGAGTAGGGCATATGTTGATAGGTCTATAGCAGAAGTGGTAATCTCAATGCCAGGATATGACTTCAGAGATAGCAAGGAACTCCGCCATTCTTCGTCCATGGGAGCCTCCGCATTCTCAGATGGCTGAGAAACATTTGTCATGGGTGATATTGGTGAATTTGGAGAAGTGAGCTCCTCTGATTTGATTTTTGATACATTTCCAAATATCGAGGGTATTTGGGTTGGCTCGGATGATACTGGTGGTGTTGCTGGAGCAGTTCTTGGCAATGTGAATCCGTCAAGTGACGATTGTTCGACTTTACATCTTGTGTATCGCTTTATTTCGGCTTGTTCTCCAGGATTGATCCCACAACCAATGACAAAAACACTCTCACCTGCTCCGTTACCATCATCACCACTAAAGTCAACTTCAAGTCTTCGACGCATATCCCAGCCATCACAAATAGTTCGAAAATGTGATGGACGATACCTCAGGAATTTTTCGATTTCACGAGTTTCTGCCTTGAGCTGTTGTTTAGAGAGATTCATAGAAGTGCAAGAAGATTTAGGAGAGTAGCTGCCGTGAATTTCAGCTTGTTGCCATGGATCATCGCGTGCTATACGGCGGGAAGCTTCCACCACCTGCCAGTATACTGTACGGCCAGCAATCCATGCTTCCCTACCCAGATCATCTTCATTTGAAGATGCATCAGATGGATGATGTGTAGGTACTTCTGTTAAGTAAAATACTTCGCCTAAAGCGTTGAGTGCAACAGCCCAAGTTCGACGTGATGTTTTGCGTGAGATGCTATAAGAATCATCCACGCTTATTGCAACTATGGGTACACCAGGGGAGGGAATCCATCGTGCCATCACCTGACCAGCCTTAGCTTTAGGGTTTTCAGTACCGAGACCATAAGCAGTGATCACGCCAAGTGTCGATCCAGTCATGATTCCAATAACACCATTGGTAACTTTGGGTACAGATGAAGACTTAGCGATCCAAATAGATGACATTGCCTCGGTGAGGGGAGGTATGTCTGGGATACCAAATTCTGCATCGGCCAAACTTGGTGGTGAATGTTCTAAAAAGCGACCACGCATTTCATTTGGTGCTCTGTAGTAAGCCGAACCTCCAGGAAACCCTTCTCCATATACCATTCCAAAAGGTTGACTGACATCCATAACATTTGGAAGACCAGCAGGACCATCTCCAAGACCAAATGGAACATCGCCTGGAAAGAGATCTGCGAATTGAGGCATTGGTTGAGGATCAGTCAAACCCCAAGGATCAATTCTTCCAAGTTTAGGATCACTGCTACCAGCAGACCCAGTTTCATCAGTACCATGAATAAAACGTGGATATTTCTTTCCTTGTCCAAATGTGCCATGAATGTGATTGATGGATGTGAATAATTCCGAGGTATATGTAGTCACAGCACTTGCATTTCCCATACCATTTGCTCGACTTGAGTTACTTTGTTCAACTCCTTGAGCAGGTTTTCCTCTTCCAAGACTTCGTAAGAGCCGTGTTCGAAGCACATATTCGCTCCTCCAACTTGCCAAACCTGTCAGTCGCGTAAAAAATCGTTGTTCGCGGAATTGTTCTCTTTCATCGTCATCTCCAATATGATCTGATCTAATGGGTGACGTCTCTGTAACATCTTGGCCTGGGAAATATCTCGAAAATGCAACGCGCCATGCATGAGGTGTAGTGACTAAATTGTAAAATCGACGCGATACAAGTGAGACTGCAGATAAAGACGACGCAGGCAAATGCGATAAAATATGAGTCAGAACCTCTGTAAAAGAAATTGTATTAGAAAATCAATTTATTTCGGGATCATGATTGAAAATACCATTTGGAAAATTCTCTAGTTGCGGACCTTCCTCGCCCGTACTACCTTTCTTCTTCACCACCTTAAATCCAGGCCCCTCAGGTTGTTTTTTGGGTGGACTAGGAGCAAGTGCGTTTTCATACTCGGCAATTCGTTGATAAGATGGTCTTGGGCGATTCTCGAGATTGGTGTCCAAGTTCAATCCACGCAGTGCCTCATCCACACCATTGAGTGGCGATCGCCATCCTGATCCTGCTCTTGACGAACTTGTTGAAGGGGTTGAGCTTGCCGTTGAGCCATCAAGTCCATTTCGAGGACTGACCAGCTCACTGGACTGGATTTGCGGAGAGTGAATGCCATGATTAGAGGTATTGGGTAAATCTGACGGGTTTTCGAAGGTAAGAATGCTGTTAAAATTATCGGGAGGCGATGGCTGCATAAAATTGAACGTGAAGGGGTGGGGTATAAGGGTTTGACTGAGCCAGTATATCCGGTCAGTCTATTATTGAGTTGAGTAGTCGACGGTGTCGTGATGTTTCGAACGTTTGTGTGAATGTTGTAGTTTCTTTTGCTTTTGGATTTGAATCTTACTGAACGGGGGGTTATGTATGTTTCTCGTTTCGGTATCTATCACATAAAATCGGAGTCATGCAATTTCCATGTGCAAGGTGACGTCCCTCAGCATCTTTACTATATATGCCTGAGGTTTTGATAAACACACCCCACCACGTGCCCACATCATCGACAGCCGAGACAGCCCCTCAGCCCTTGATTTCACAACCACCTTGAATCTGAACAATATAAATTATTTGGATTACCATCATCTGCATGAAAAGCTGTAGAATTCGGCTTTCGCTCTCAATCATGCTCCAGCTCTAACTTCTACTGAATTGAACACTGGAAGAACGTATGAACGCTATTTACGAATTGTTGTATGCGTTACATCCATCTGGTCTCAAATCTATACAAACCCTTACAAATTTCGACGTATGAGCATAATGAAGATTCTTTTGGGTATTTTGAAAGATTAATTTGGTATCATCATTATTGTAATATCACTAAGAAGTCTTCGTATATGACATAAGTACATTTCCAAGAAACGTATCTATCTACCCATCCCACCCAATTTTCCACCTGACTTTTTCATAACTCCTAAAACTCCATGTTGAAACATTATCTCATTTTTCAGTTAAGTCATCATCATAATGAGACCAAGAGTGATGCATCCGTATATTTCAAATGGAGCATTGATCCTCCCAGCGTCGCTCTCTTGATCTGTGGATGTCACCGCTCCAGATGTCGTCGTTGTAGAGGTAGACATGTATGTTGAGTCTTCGCCTGTAGTTTTGAACTTTGATCCTTTACTTGTACTTGTATAGATATCCTGCATCGAGGAAGATTCAGAGACACCTGTAAATGTGGTCTTTGAGAACTCAACGCCATTACTTCCAATTTCTATAGTTTGTTGATTGAAAGTATGGCTAGTAGGTGTTACTCCTGGTCCAAAAGTAAAGGTTGTTCCATCTATAACTGCTAGACTTGATCCAATTTGCGTGAATGTGACATCTGAAATTGTGACAGGATGTGTCGCAAGAATGAGAGGGTATGTTAAAGTTGTACCAGCAAGTATCAGGCCGCTCTGATCTGCAGATATACTTTCCCCACTGATCACTGTCTTGGTAGGAGTAGCACCAGGTCCAATATTGAACATAATGCTGGATACAATTACGATTGATGAACCTACTTCCATCACCGAGAGGCCGCCAACTATTCCAATTTGATTTCCTGATCTTGAGTTACCTCCTAAAGTCGTTTGTGCAAAGACCACTCCACTAGGGTAGATAACTATTGTTTGTCCATTGAATACATCAGTTTGAATGGCCAATCCTGATCCGTAAGTAAACGTTGAAGACCCAATATATGCCAACGAATTTCCAACACTTATGGGCTCACCACCGATAATCACATGGTTCGTAGGTTCAACAAGTAAAGGCGCCAGAGTCGTGTGCGCAAATTGGATTCCAGCAACACCAATCGTGATTGTCTGGGTGTTTATAACAGTCACTACTTGAGGAGCTCCTGAACCTATTGAATAGCTCTTACCATTCACGACAGCAACAGATTCTCCTAGTTTTACCGAAATATTATCTACTAGAGTTGAAATTGCTGATATTTCGATACTGACTCCTCCTGAATTGGCAGTCAGGCCTAGTGATGTCCCTGAAAAGAGAGTTGGATCTGGTTGTGGTTGCATACTCTTCGACCCTGGATCTCCTGAATTGGCAGTCAGGCCTGGTAATGTCCCTGAAGAATGAGTTGGATCTGGTTGTGGTTGCATACTCTTCGACCCTGGATCTGCTGAATTGGTAGTCGGAGTTGGCGATTTCCCCAGACTACCTACCCTGGAAGCTGAAGTTGGATTTGATTGCGATTGCATACTCGTTGCCCCTGGATTGGTGGATTGGATAGTTCTATATGAACTTGGTAATGTCAATGTTGTTCCTGGGCCTATTACTTGAGATGGATTAACCGTAAATGTATGTCCCTTCTGCTTAATGGTTAAAGGTGAATTTTGTCTTTTAATCGTATGTCCATTTATAATAACATTGTTCGGTGTCAAGATAACTGGGACTCCAAGGACTACCACTGAAGTTTTAGAAGACGAAGGTGATCCAATATCATCGTTAGATTCTGCATCAGGATTCTCTACACTGTTTGATTCGGGGCTTACTGCTTTACCCGAAGAGTCTGGTGTAGAAGTTGAGTTAAAAGTTGGTGTAGATGGCTTGCCAATTTTTGTTACTGGAATTCCCGGGAAATGTGGTGGAGTATAAGAGGCAAAAACAACCTGTGGATTCTTGCTTGTAACAACAACGGTTGTCGTCCTTATTTGTGAATAACTGGGAGACGCTAATGGCGACAGTGTTAGATATTCTCCTGTACTTGTTTCATTTGACTCTATCAGATTCGGGTCGGTATCATTGCCAAATGGAAATGATGGTAGCTCATATGCTGGTGATATCCCCGGTAGACAATAAGTTGGAGGTTTAAACTCTGGTATTGGGGTGTATGTTGCATTGCTAGCAAGTGTAATTGTTTTTGTGTTGGGTACCAGAATGAATTCATAATAGTCGTCGTCAGGGGAATCAAGAGCAATGCACGGATCCGTCTCGGGATCTAATTCAGGAGGTGTGACGGATGTGTTGAATATAGTATTGTTGAAAGTTCCCGTCTCACTGTGCCCGAAACTAGAAACCGTTTGGTGATGAAAAGATAATGTAGTCTTGTTTGGATTATTGATCAATTGTCTCGAGTTAGTGGGCGCAATGGGATAACCGAAGTTTGTGTTGAGTCCGAAAGTTGTTGAAGGAATGAGACTTTGAGACCGTAAAGTGGAATTAAGCGTTGATGTGAAGATAGAAGTCACGCTTATGACATTGCCTGGCCATTGAGATGTAGGATTGTTGACCGGAACTGTGTCGGATGTACCGCCACTGAGTATCCCAGACCATTGAGGCGTGTTAGTGACGGCAAGAGGATTGGTAGAGCTTTCATGTCTTGTAGTACCAATATTAGTCCAGGAAGTAGTAGGAGGGCTCAGCGTCGGCGACGGATAATTAGTTGTCTCGACGTCACTATAAATCGATGAAGATTCTGTTGATGATTCAAATAGTACACTTTTTGGATTGTAAATTGAAGATTGGTTAACTTGTGTAGTGTAAGACGTAGAAGTTATGCTAGAATTTGGAAAGTGTTGGAATTTTGCTTGCTTATATTAGTGATGTAGTCCTTGGGCAGATGGATTCAAGCGTACCTTGAGCAAAAACTTCAGAGCATTTAGTAAGGATGAAAGTCCATATGAAGATTGATTCATGACAAAGCATTGCTCCAGATCAACCCAGAAAATAGCTGATCTTGTCGATGCCTAATGCAATAGACAACAGTCAAAGCTTACCTGACTGTTCATGAGATTATAATACAAGAAAAAGAGCGTTTTCAGATCCAGCCCACGTAAGTGATAAGTAGAAGAAAGGCACAGTAAAACATTTCCAAAAACCAATGTACAGGGAAGAATGTCAAATTGCTGAATGTTCGAGAAGCTGGAATGAAGAATCATTCTTATTTGAACGGCTTCACCATTTTGCCAACATAATGATAAGGATAGAATAGGTAGTGCTTTGATCTTGACTCTAGTGCTGCTTGTACTAATGGATAGCAAGTGACTCGCCCACGGTATTTGAAGTATGAAAAAGGAGACGTGCCGGCCATGATGTTTTCAGGGTACAACTAGTAGCTTACAATGCTTTCATCAAACCCGCTACTATCTTTGAGCAAGCTATGCTTGAATAAATCCTGATATAGCATGCTAAGCATATATCATATCTCGTTTATGGAATGCAGCATGTTACCAAAGAATGTTGGTAGCATCACGGCTTTTTACAAAACAAGTTCGTATGATCGCCTCCTTCAAAAGCTTTGTTATTCTCTTTACAAAGTAGAGTTGTCGGATGTCGGATTTCGGATACAGGGAGATCGTCGAAATGCTAAAGTAGGCTCATGTCGTAAATGTAAGTACCTTTTAGTGCGAGTCCAATCCAGATATAGCTAAGCGACAAACTTTCCGCGAAATAAACTTTTACGCTTTGAACTGAAATGACGGAAAAGATATGAATCCTGAATTGACAAAATATTGAGAGCAGACAATTGATTGGGTAATCTCTCATACCCAAAAGAATTACTGGATGGTATATACATCTAGCACTTGCTACATTCAAGGCTGTAGGGGGTATCTACAATGTCGGTTATACTTGTGCTTTTGAACTACCACAAAGATAGTTTCCGTGGTTTCTTCAAAAGCTGGTAGCACAGATGAAATTTTTTTTAATGGCTCCAAGATAGTCTAGCAACTTCGCGAAGCCATAATATCATTGTGGCAAAATGCTAATCAAAAGCAAAGCCTATTGTGATCAAGTTCAACGCTATGAAGTTCTTTTATCTCTCCTTTTAGACTTTAGCGGATGGCAGTGGAAAGTCTAGCCAGTAATTTCATTCACTGTCGGTAAATATATGAATAAATTCTTTATTTAGGAACATTGCCTTGGAGAAGTACTGATATGGTATAATAATTCTGGTAAGGAAAAGCCAACAAGTCTTTCAAGAAATAGACATGTATATATCATATCCTTTCCCTAAAGTAAATTAGCCGATAGTTCTGCTTCAAGGCCCTGTTCCTGACCAACTGAACGTGCTGATTTGATCTAAATTTCGTCCACCACCCACTGACTTCTAAAATTGGGAAGAGACTCCACTATGTCTAACCTTCTTTTAACTTATCAGCCATGTCCCAATATTCCTCTTTCCCTTGCCCTCAACTCAATTGGCATTCTAAAAACCAGCAACAGTTCTACTGTTCCCAGGTTGAGAGTTCTTCTCGGCAGCTCGAGAGTGCCGTGATGGTTTTCGGCAAGACCCGAACCTTTAAAATTCATGGTTGATTTATCTCATATTATCGACAGATAGAATAATTGATAAGGAAATGTATAATAGTGAACTTTTGTTTAATGTAAATACTTCTCTTTTTCAATCGTATGCTTTCGCTTAGTCGATGCTAAGTGGCCCCTTTCCCTTGCCTAATATAGTTATTTTCTCATTTTCCTAGTCTGGTTCCCCCATACCAACTCTGAATTCTCTCTTTCCCTATAACAAAACAATTAGAGGCTAAATTAATCACAGCACCAATCCAATAATCATTCCAATAATCATTGAATGCTTCACTCATTGATTAATTACTCTTTATATCTTTTTTTTCTTAACATCTAATTGGCTGTTTGTCTTTCATACCTGCTCTTCAGCCCGAGGCTCAGCCTAGTAACCTTGCGCGTTTGTCCCATCAGACCTTTGTTGCAGTTGCCGGTTTATCTTTGCCATATATATATTCAATTTCTCCATTGCTTCAATTTGCTTGGCCTAGTTCGTGGGCTGTATTTTGTGTCCTCGATACAAAATCAAGACTATGATCTCTGTTATGGGAATTTGTGCTCTTTCACAATCACTTCTTCTCTTAATCCTAGTAAAATATGTTACTGGCGTGGATGCTGCTACAGCTTTGAGTCTGACGCCTTCTACTGAATGGTATAGTAAACAATATCCCATTTGTTTAAGTAGATGCTGATATAGTTAAAGGTATGGAGACGATGGATCTTGGTCTGCTGTGTCGATCAGATTGGGAACTCCCAAACAATGGGTCAATCTCTTTCCAAATACACTCAGTGCTGAAACCTGGGCGATAGGGCCATATGGCTGTCAAGATGGTGGTATGTTATTTTTCTTATATCATACTTGTTCTTGGGACATAGAGTCTTGAATCGATGTCAACTGGTAGTTTCTGCTTCATTGTTTCTCGGGAAACTTGACACATTCTTCTTTTTAGTGGCCAGATGAAAATTTTCGAATCACTGCCTTTAATCAGACTATTTTAATTTTTACCCATTTCATACCGAATCATAGTTGATGGAATGTCATTTTTTAAATCACATAATGAAGCAAACTTTATCTATTCAATATCAAGTGCTAATTGATGGATCATACTTCCATATCAAATAATTTAGTCTTATCTTTCATACTATGAGAACAAGTTTAACATATTATCCCTTCCATTGTGTGCCTCAACGATTGAAGAGTTTTCATGAATGAAATATCACGGTCGCAGAATCGCTGTTCGTATTTTTATTTGATCAGACATCTTCTTGAGGTTAGATCATAGTCTTTGGTCCAAGATTGTTAATTACGCTATTTAAGCTATTTTTCTCTTATAAACCTAACTTTATTATCTAAAAATCAAGTTACAGTTAACGATTAGGACCGTACATCAAGTGATAAGTCTCAGCAATTCATCATCGTGTCTCGATATTCTCAGTAGTCAGGGTTGTAATCTGAGGATATGGGACCTTTGATTGTGGATCAATGATTCCATATCGCGCATCTATAAAGTTTTGTCTGGTTTAGAAGTTCAAGCTGAAACGTTCTGTAACCCTTACATACTAATGATACCTTTAAAGATTCAATATGCTTGGACAGCCGAGGCTCAATCTTTAACGCAACCCAATCTTCCACATGGGAGCCTTTGTTGACACTAGAGTCTTCTCCTTATTGGCGTCTTGGTACGGGAAACTCGCTGCAATCGGCACCTTACGGAGAGTATGGACTCGACAATCTCGCATTTGGGCCAGACGGGCCAATCATTCCCAACGCGACAATCGCGATGATCAATGCTACAGAGTATTGGGTTGGGAGCTTTGGTTTGGGTGCTAGTACTGGAAATTTCAGTTATGTTACCCCAAATGTCACATATGCACAGCTAGAAACCCTGGGTGAGATATTAGGTGCGGGATATGGATACACTGCGGGGGCTATATATCGTAAGTATTTGATAGTTTTGAGGTTCCTTCAGTACAGTCAACTAACCCAGCTCAGAGCAAAAGGGGGAACCAATGTCTTTAACATTGGGCGGATATGACGAAAATCGATTCATACCTCACAACGTTTCGTTCACTCTTACCCAAGATTCACCTGTACCTCAAGTCTTCGTTGACAGTATTTCTGTAATATCCTCCAATGGATCAAATGCGCCTATACAACTTGCGTCATACGAGGAGAACATCAACGCATTGATTGATAGCTCGACTCCTTACCTATGGCTTCCGGAAACAGTTTGCAATCGTTTCGCGGAAGCTTTGGGACTAAGTTATAACGAGTCCTTGAATCTTTACACCTTTGATGAAAATCCCACTCAACATAACAACCTATCGGATTCATCTACATCGACAACTTTCACATTTAGATTCAAAGACAAACCCTCAGCCTCGGATTTTGTCGAGATACATTTACCATATGCAGCTTTTGATTTATCATTATCCTACCCATATATTCCCAATACCAAATATGGAACAGATGAAGCATCAAAATTCTACTTTCCATTGGCCAGATCAGCAAATAGTAGTCAATACACTATCGGTCGAGCATTTTTACAGGAGGCATACATCATCACCTCTTACGAGACCAATCAATTTTCACTTTACCAAGCCGTTCATGTATCCGATACGCTAAATAACAAGAGCATTGTTGCTATTCCAAGTGGAGATATTACTACTGGACAAGAAACTGGCACAGTGTCATCCAGTCAGAATGCTCGCTTAACCGAGGGGCAAATTGCTGGCATAGTTATTGGTGTAATTGGGACAATAGCAACTTTACTAGCTACCTTATACTTTTCCTATATCAAATACTATAAGCCAAAGAAACTTGCGCTTGCTCTTAAGAATTCTACTTCTGAGTCCGAAGCTGGTATTAATCTTCAACAACTTGATAGTCCTCCGCCAACGGGGACTTATCCTTCAGAAGCTCCTGGTGATACCAGTCATCCAATTGAGATAAACTCAGAAATTGCACAGCCAACAGAAGTTAGTGCCGAAGTCCCGCACCAACGTTTAGAACTTGTAGCTGTGATTCCAAAAGAACTCTCCGCAGAAACCGAAGTTGAGCTACCAGCAGAAGTCCCGGCAAATTTTTTCAGAGGGGGTATTACAGTCGACAATACTCCTACTGGTAGTCATACCGTCAGTCCTATATCTGCTTCACATTCTGGTTCACTACCATCAATGAATGCTCTCGCCATCAGTTCTGCAGAGCCATCTTTCGAGAAAGGATCCATTCTCGTAAGTCCTACTCGCTCTTCTATTGCAGCAGATCAAGCATCGCCCACATCCTCCGAGATACGACTGCGGCCCGAAGGATTTTCTCCTGTAGCCGCAATTCAGCACCGCATGAGTCCTCCTCCTACATACGCCCTTGCAAAACCTAACAACTACGATTTTGCTGGAGTTTTTCTTTCTGGCGACCAGCCACTAAGTCAATTCGCTTCTTCTACTAGCAGTGGTGCCCCAGGACCTAGTAATTATGTTTTTGCCGGAGCGATGCCTTCAGGTATTCAACCTCCAAATCCATTCGCTCCAACTACTATGAGCCGAGACGCACAAGTAAATGAGTGGCATCGCCGCGATGTGGAAAGACAAGAACACGAAGAAGAATTACATCGTCAAACATTAGCTCGCGAAGAAGAAATCCGCGAGAATCAATTCCAGGCACGTCGTCTGGCACATAGACAGGAACTTGAGAGAATGGAACGACTAGGAACCGATGTTTTCAAATATCGCAATGAGGACGTGGGGAGTGTTCAAACTCCTTTTAGAGATACCGCTCAACGTGATGAAAATGAAGCTCGCAATATACCTCCCACAATCCAGGACGAAGGTGCTATTCCCAGTGTATCAGCTCAAGGAGGTGCCCCAGAAGTTGCGCAAGTAACTCCTTTACGTCGATTCTCTTTTGAGAATGGAGATGATGACGATGTTGTTTGAATACGATTGATGTTCATTTCTTGACTACCCAGTTATCTTTGTTAATATGCTATTTCTCCTATTTGCGCCATTTTATTTGGAATTTTGGAATATGTGGTGGATCTTTTGTATATAAATGGAATTAGAATACCAGCGTGTTCAGAGGAAGGCAATTTATTTACTTGTGGGCTCAATATCGAACTTTGAGGAGGCATTTAATCAGTTGCTTACTGCACAAATTCCTCAAATTCGCATGTTGAGGCCTTTTCAAGGTGGTGTGTGGACCAAAAACGGTCATGTATAAACTATTGAGAATAAGACAAATGGACCGTCATAGAATGGGCCACAGGTGTATTTAAAGTAAACACTTGAGTGAACTTATGCCCAACTTCTCTTTGATGGACCATTGTTGTCGGGATATCGATCATGTGATCTGAAAGAGGGCACTGTATTGCACTAGCGTGTGTACTAGCGTGTGCACTAGCGCTAGCACTTCTACTATATTAGATACTTGCTTCCCATAGTTAATAATGATCAAGAACGAATACAACCACAATAGACTAAAGTACTATACACTTTATCAACCCCAAGTTGATACCAACAATTGTGTTAACTCTTATTGCATTATGTAGAGATGTTTTCATGAGATGGCCACGAGGATAGAGGTGGAGGAATAAGAGACCACGAACACCTGAAATTCATAGATATAGAGAATCTTCATCTGCAAATGATAAGATTCGGACCCAGAACTAGAACTATCTTCGATAATTCTTGGAAGAAATAGATGAATATGTTAACACCCTAATATGAATTTCTTTACAAACGCCTATGGATGATTGAAGAGAATCAACTTTGGTGATGTGAGCGTTTTGTGAAGTAAAGATGAAGGTACCAATCAAATGATAGTCTCAGGCCACTGTCTGAACAAGCTGGCTGTCTTCAATTTCGAGATATCGGTAAGACTCGTAAGAGTGTCTGGAAGTAAGGATAAGCTACTCAGGTGGATTTGATGAGAGCTTTGGTTCAAGTCGTTTGAAGAATATCGTGGAGCATCATCTACCTTTGCTTTTGCAACTTTGAGCAATATAATAAATATTCAATGCTTCTTCGCTGATACCGATTTGGCTTCATTCTGAGTGTCTGTACTCTATCCGTATAACAGGAGGTACCAGCCAGCTCAGCATATGAATACAATACCCATGTGAATTTGTTTTCAATATAAAGAGTGAGGAAGTTTCTTGACATTCAATGGAAAGAAAGGTGTGATGATTCAGACAGATAGATGTGCTGGATTGGGGATTTGATTTTTATGAATATATAGAGAGCTCTGCGTGGATCTCTTAAAGCAATTACCAGAACAAACTGAAATCAAGCTAGACAAACTACAGTATCCAGGTTTTCAATGTAGTAGTCAGGAGAACAGTACTTTGATGAGCGCGGCAACAACCCATCTTGGTTGGATGATCCAGGAACTTTGTATGTAAATGACAAGATCGAAGTACTTCCATGATGAATTCCCAGATTTCAAACCTCAACAATAATAGACGAAAACTTCGAGTTTCACAACCCCCCTCAATCTTCATCGCATTCTGGGTACAAGCGACTTCATTTTTATCTCCACATTCATACCTATTATGTTGTGACCTCCGATCAACAAACCCATCATTTACACAACCCACGCATCACACTTCACCAAAATAAGTCACAAGATTTGTCGATCCTTCACTTTCTTCCCACTTCATTGGTATTTCAATGACTGCTGCCAACCATATCACAGCCACTCTGTCCTTAGCACAACATTTCCCACTATACTAGGTGGCGAACGTTCATTCTTTCATGGGCCACAAACCCCCATCTCCCCACGGTCTGGGCGCAAAATAATATATGTCAAGAGACCAAGTGATCATGAGCTAAACAGCAATACGTTATTTATCTTCCTTGTAATATCTGAGCATAATAAACAACCAAGTCTATCCAAGATTTGCGTCCACAATCGCAAGACTTTTTTCTTTACACACCACAATCTTTTTGATCAATTCAGATAGAATTATACGTCATCAAATCCCCGCCCTCATATCCCTTCTCCGATTCGTCTAAGCGAGCTTGGGTTCTTCGAGTGCTTTGTCGTCCCCTCCAATGATTTCTCATTCCTCATGTTACACAAAGCCACTCTTCTCGCCAAGTGCATTGCCTTTACCATTTGTGTAAGACAAGTACACATCACCCAATCAGATGGATTAATTCTTCTGAATTGTATTCCTCTCGATCCATCTCTCACATTATTAGCCCACTCTTTCCACAACGCAGAAATGAACATGCGGGGAATTCTCCATCTTGCACTCTCGTCTGGCAAGCTACAAAGAGAACAAAGAATCGTGGCATGACAAATTTTTGTAATTATGATAGAGTTGACCTCTTATTCCTGCCGTCTCAACGGAGATGTGCGTCGTAGTCCGTCATACCTGGGATCTTTAAATAACAGAGGAGCAGCCGTCCTTCCTCTTGGCTTGATCTTGGTCTTTGTGTTCATGTAATCAATCAATATCAATTGGGAAGTCTTCAATTTCGAACAAACCAAACCTGTCGCAGTAATATATCTGCATTTTTACACTGAGAAACAAAATTTCTGCATCAAATTACATGAAGCTGCAGAAACGATAACCCAAAACGTCGACAAGACAGATTATCATCACACAAGCGAAATATCCATCAGAATAAATATGGCCTCACCACAAACACAAAGTTCGTTCTCATCCAACCTTCAAGTTCCAAATGATTCAACTAATACCGTTCTCCCATTTCTTCAGCTCACCACAGCCCATCTCCCACCTCACCCACTTCTCCAACCTCTCCTATGGGTCTCTCTCACGATGATCCCTTCGCCGCCCAACGCAAAGACCCCATGAACAACAACCCATTCGCTTCCAAAACCCAAGGCACAAGTCCCATGAACATCCCCACGCCCAGCTCTCCAAACGCAACAAACACACATTCCGGATCACCAAATCAAGATCGAAGATTAAGTTCTGATGAATGGGGTTCGTTGGTTTTCCCTCTCAGTCGTCGTTCATCACATCCCTCCTCATCACCATTGTTATTACCATCCCTTCCTTCCTCATCACCATCTCCTTTTACATTACCCCATTCATCATACCTTCCAACCCAAGCTCCACTCTCTTCATCTCTTATTTCCTCCCCCTTTAATTCCAATTCTCTTTCTCCTGTATCCTCCCGCCAAAATCGATAACAACACTAACACAACTCACCCAATCATCCAGACGCTTCAAAAACACCCCCTTCTCGTTTCCAAAAACGGAAAGGTTCAATCTACGCAACACCAAGTTCTCGCGATGGTCATGTGGATAAGCATATTGATCGTGATGCCGTTTTTCATGCAACACACGCGGAGAAAGGATACATGGGAATCTTCGGTCTTGGTGGGAGTCGCAACAAGGAGGGAGGATATCAGGGTGGAAGGAGAGCTAGCAAAAGCGAGTGATTGGATAGGATAGGACGAGACTGTGAAGTTGGAAAGAGAACAAGGGAATTTCATCCAAGAAGAAAAGAGATTTGACATATGAATACCTAAGTAGTGTTGATGAATTATGTAAAAATGAATCCGAAGGGAAATTTGTATGAGAGATATGAGGAAAATTTTGGAAAACACAATTTCCATCATTTAGCGAAGCAATCTTTAATATTTCCACCGCCTGTACCTATGATACCAATAACATACATATACATTTGCAGACAACAGTGTCTTGATCGTTTGTAAACCCGATTGAAAACGCCGTCCTATGCATTGAGAATCCTTGGGATCTCAAATTCCCACTATGTCCAAACTCCCTTTGATTGACGTTCCCGTATTTTAACCTCCCCCACCGATGAAACCCCATTCAAACTACTCCCTCAATCATCATCCATACCATCTAATTCGATAGCATCAGGATTTTCAGTAACAACTATTTCTGGTTGCTTGATATTTCCTCCTTGAGGACCTGTGCTTGCTGGCACGAATCCAACAGGAGCTCTTGCCTCGCGTTCTAATGCTGCCATTGCATCTGCAGCTTCTTCTCCATCCTCATCAGATTTCGCTTGACTTCGAGCAAGAGCTTGAGAAGCAATAAAATTGACATCAGTATTATATTGTGCTTGAACACTTCTCTTGATACGAAGCATCTCTTTGAACGTATCTTCGTTTCCGTGTTGAACCTCGAAAGATTCCCATTTTGACCAAAAGGTTGGACTTGTTCGAGGGTCGCAAAATTGAGATGCGTGTCCGTAAATTGCTCTTGCACGATCAATCTCACCCAATCGTTTCTCCATATCGGCGAATTTCAAACACATATCTCTGGCATCTTTATCTGGTAGTGCCGCAATAGCTCTTTCGTAAATTGGTCGTGTTGAAGGTAAACCGAAATTGGAGGCCGACTTGGTGATGTAAAAGTTGAACATATCTGCGCGATCCTCATCAGAGACAGCCCGAGTTGCTCTTTCGTAAATCCTCATGGCATGTCTCGCTAGACCCCGCTCCTCCTCGAGATTTCCATACATAAGATACAATACTTTGGCAAATCTAGGAGGACATCCTTCGACTGCCTGCTCGAATAAATCTCGAAGACGTTCGATACCAATTTTTCTATCAACTGCCTTGGTCAAGTATAAATTCCAGAGTTCGAATGCTACCGGATAGCTAAATAGATCCAATCCTCTCTCGTAAATTTTGAATGACTCTTCGAAATATTTGTTCTCCTCCAGTAAATTGGCGTAATTGACAACAGTTTGTGGTGTTGCAATTCGAAGTTCGAATGTTCGTTCGTATATCTTCTTGGTTTCTTCCAATGTGCTAACACTCTCCACCAAGTCTACATAGAAACTCCACAACTTCCAGCTCTTGTGAACTCTTTGTTGAGGTGAGAGAGTCTCGTCGAAATAATCAACATTGGATCGTTTCGGTGCCTGAACTGCCTTTGCCATAATCTTTACAGCTTCATCGAAGTTTTCGTTTCTTAATTCCATCTCCGCCCATTCAATCCAAGTATCAGCAAGTTCCGCCACAGATTTGAAAGGTACTTTCACTGCCTTTTCAAAGATAACACGAGCATTACGTAAATCCCCACCCTCTTCGTAGAACTTGGCGTAATTTGACCATAATTCGTGAAACTGTCCAACGGCTTTCTTCGGCTGAATAGCAGCAATTGCATCTGTGTATGCTTTAACCACTTCAACTTTGTTGTCCCCCCACAGAGAAATACGTTTCATCCATTCGGGTACATTGCTTGGATTTTGCCGCAATAATACGTCGTTCAGTAAGAATGGTCGACGATCCATAAGTTGCTCGAATCTCATCATTCGAATATCCAAATCAAAGTCTGCATTTTCGTCCACAATACCCTTCTCTGATCGAACTGCAGCCGCTTCCATTAGAACCCCAGTAATCGATTCCTCGAATTCGGCATAAGAATCGAATATCAGTGTGAAATCCCGAACGGTCATAACTGTAGTGATTCCCTCTTCAAATACATCTCTTGCCCGTTCAAAACTACCCCGAGTGATCCAGTATGTTGCTAAACCGGACCATAATTTTCCTCTCTGATCCGCAAATCTATCAATGCCACTTCGAATAATTTTTTCGACATCAATTCCGATTTCATCTCCAGTTTCAACTTCCTTGGCATGCTCCACAAGAAGATCTACCATCTCACTCCATAATTGATAATGGCCCTTTCCATGTTTACTCCGGAATTTTGGGTTATTAAGTATATCCATATATTTCTTGACGGCCTCAGTATAAAGTTTCATCTCAATTAAGAGTTCAATAAAATCTTCGGCATCCTCCGGATGGATCTGCATGTAACGTCGCCATATCTTAACAGCTGTAGAACCTGACGCGGAATTCGCAAAAGGACGGTAAAGGGCCCAAATTCTGTTATGTTGTGTAATGGGTAAAGCTCGAAGTGCTCGATCGAAAGTTCGGCGCGTGAGAGTAACGAGGGGTTGGAGTAGCAAAAATTGAAGGTACATCTCCCAGATTTTCGGCATCTTATTCAAAAGAATCAAGGCTCTTTCGTAAAGCGCGTTAACTTTGGCATATTCGGGGGCAAAAGCTGCAGGATTCAACTTTCCCAAATGCTTCATTCGTAATGTAAGGTACTATTTTTCGTCAGCGAATATTAAAGCGGGGTTTGCGCGCATAGATGTATACCATTTTCCATAACTTGTAAGATCTGGGTAATTGTAAACAAGCTCGTTCCAAAACGAAAGCTTGCTCGAGTTTTGTGCCATGCTGAAATTTGAACTCGATGTATGCCAACCAAGGCTTCGTACTGCCTGGATCGCGAAGGATATCCTGCTCATAGATGGTATCTTCTTCAGACTATCGATTGAATTAGTCAACGTGATCGTTTAATGAGATTGTATGGTATCTGAGGGAATAGACGTACAATAAGATATAAATCTGGCTTTCCTCGAATCGATAAGGTTAAGGCGGATTTTATTTCGGGGACGCTGGGAGCAGCCATTATAGGGAGCAACTCTCCAGGCATTCTCTGCCTGGAAAACAGAGAATGCGATCAGTCCCAAGAGGAAGAAATATTTGGATGACCGTCTTAAAAGACGTCGAGGGTGTTGGGTTGGTCTGATCTGGTCGTTCGACCTCTTTTTTTTTCCGTACCAACAATCAACCGACTTTGCTACTCAATGCTACTCCAGGGTCATTAGCACTACGGGAGACTAAGCGACAGTATTGGGGGAAATGTAAACCTCTTCTACCCGAGGGAATAAGAATCAGTAAAGGAAGAGACAAAAGATGGAAAGAGTCTGGTGTCTAGTAAAAGTACTAAAGATGTCTGATATCCACTCGAGGAGTGAATAATGATAATCAATCTCTCTACCTATTCTTCCTAACCAAAGATACAATGTCCGAAGATTGAGATCTACTTGAATCACGTGAAAAGAATTGAGATATAACAGTAATCAGCCGAGCCAGCGTATTTTGTTTGAGAAGCGCTAAGTTCACACCCCCATGAGCTTGGACTTGGGCAGTTACAACCATGAAGTGGGAGCGAGAGCTTAATCAACAACTTCTTATCAGCCTTCTCTTCCACTCTACAACAGCCCTCTCTTTATACTTGGAGAGTTCCCCTTTACGCTTGAATTGATAGAGAGGAGTTGAGCTCACAGGAGTATTACATTGCCAATCGTCTAATCAAATTGAAAAGCTACCAAAATGTCTGGAGCCGGGGTAAGACAAAGCAACCAATTCCAATGGATTCATATATCTTCTTAACTAACATAATATAGAATCGAGAAGCTGTTTTCCCAACACGACAGTCCTTGGGATTGATGAAGTCGAAGTTGAAGGGAGCGCAAACTGGTCATGATTTATTAAAGAGAAAGAGTGAAGCTTTAACTAAGTATGTTTACCCCCAACCCAACAAGCTCTTTGCCTTACTGACTCTCATTGCGCAGACGTTTCCGAGGTATTTACACTGCTCTCATACCAGTATTCTCTCAAATATTCCTAACTCTACTCCAGAAATCACCCGCAGAATCGATGAAGCCAAACGAAAGATGGGTCGAGTAATGCAGATAGCCGCCTTTTCTCTGGCAGAAGTAACCTATGCGGTAGGAGGAGATATTGGTTACCAAGTACAAGAATCCGCAAAATCGGCACGATTTCGTGTACGGACGAAGCAAGAGAATGTATCTGGTGTATTCTTGCCGGCTTTTGAAAGCTACACAACGGAAGGCAATAATGATTTTGGCTTGACGGGTTTGGGAAAGGGTGGTCAACAGGTACAAAGATGTAGGGAGACTTATGCGAGAGCTGTGGAGACATTGGTGGAATTAGCCAGTTTGCAGGTATGTTAAGAATAGGACCAGCCCGAACCAGGGGAGGGAAGATGTGTTGAATGGGGCTGATATGTTGTGATCAGACTGCTTTTGTTATTTTGGATGAGGTTATCAAGGTTGTGAACAGGAGAGGTAAGTTGAATTCTAGATCTAAAGCACATAACATATACTAATTTGATATAGTAAACGCAATGTTAGTCTTTCTACCATTACATCACACCCCCCATTAATTCATACTAACCAAATAACAGTGAACATGTGATTATCCCACGTACAGAAAACACCATCAAATACATCAACTCAGAGCTCGATGAATTGGACAGAGAAGAATTCTTCCGATTGAAGAAGGTTCAAAACAAGAAGCAGAGGGATACAGCTGCTCAAGATGCAGAGATGAAGGCGAAGAAAGAAGCGGCAGCAGAGAAGGAGAAGGCCGAAGGTAGTGAAAAGGAGAATTCTACCCATACTGGAGATATTCTAGGTGATGAGGAAGATGCGGATGTCATTTTCTGATGCCTCACGGATGCCATTTTACTTGTTTTAAGTTTCACCAATCGGGTCATCAAACCGAATGAATATCATGTAGCATTAGCGAATACTGTAATTAAGATTGAGCATTGTTTTCTCTATTTAGCTTTACTCATT